AAACCCACCGTGGTCCCATGACGGCAGTCTTGCTCAGATGGTCGCTTTCCTTGCTCCGGTGGTGTATAACTCAGTAGGTTATGGGTGGGTCTGGGCCGGAGGGTGGATTGTGGCTGAGCCTGCTCTCTGACCCCAAAACTCGCTTTCACCTGTATGTACAGTACTGTGCTGCCTCAGGCAGTCGGAGAAAACTTTTATCTGGGTAGTAAGTACACATTTCCTTAGAAGAAAGATACAATTTAACATTAGAACATAAGCAAATTAAGAGTAACACAATAAAAGCTAACAAGAATTTCTTCTCCAAAAAGTTACTGATATCATGCTGGGTGACTAGAAGAACACAGCTTCAGTTCCCAAACCCGTCACTGGGGGCACCAGCCATTCCATGTATTTGCCGATTTTCACCGCCACTCATTTGAGTGCTTAAAAAACAGGACAGCACAGTGGTGAACACCATTGCCTCACACCTCTGGGACCCCTTGAGCATCCGACATGGCACTGTGTATGGAGTTTGCATGTTCTCCCTATGTTGTTGTGGGGTTTCCTCTGGGAGTCCTGGGGTGTTCCCTGCCTTGTGCCCTTAGCTTTCAGGATAGGCTCCAGACTCCTGTGACTCTGAGAAGGACAAGCGGTTGCAGAAAATGGATGGGTGGTTTCATAGTCGATGTGACACAGAGTGCGGTACATTTTAAAACTACCCTCTTTCTCCATGGTGGATCAGTATCTCAGTTTTCTTTTTCAGGGGACAGAGAGAGGAGCCCAGTCACATGGCAAGTCCTCCTCCATTCTACCAGCTGCCGTGGCAGTTTGCCGGTGTAGCGGCCTTATCCCTGCAGGGCCCCGGCACAGAGCGTGGTTTTCCAAACGCGCCGGGCGCTGTCCGCTCTGCTCCTCACGCTTCTGTGGAGTGCTCGTTAAACGTGCTGGCGGATTCCAGCATGTTGTCCTCCACAATAAAACTGCTCCTGTAAAAAAGGCTGGCATTCCCCTGCTCCTGTGTGCCAAGTATCTGAAGCGTTACTCTCCGTGTCTGTAGATGTCAGTCAGCCTCTGCAGGCAGGCTGGAGGACTGCAGCAATCCCACATCTTCACTTTTAATTCATTGTTATACACCTGGCCGCCACTTTCATCCACTTAACCATCATTGACTTTCCGCTGTCCTTCAACCGTGACCGTATCAGGCACATATCTACTAACACTCATTAAATGTACCCTGGGGTCTTGAAAGCTTCACAAATGAAGTAGATGAAGAGGCATTTAACCGAAATGAATGACCTGTCTTTTCAAGGCCAGAAATTCAGCGTTGTCATGGGGGATTCCAGAGCTTCCTGAGAGATTCATTCCCCCAGAGTGCTCTGGGTCTGCCCAGACCTATGGCATGAGTTTGTGGCTGTTACCGGAAGGTTGTTGGTGCAAAGCCCGGATTCGTCAGAATAATCACATGTCTGTGAGCCCTTGAGCGAGGCCCTTAACCCCCAGCTCCAAGGGTGCTGCTGCAGGTGGCTGCCCTTCACTGCCAAGCTTACTGTCTCCTATATGTGTGTCATGGAGAGCTGGAAGGGGTGAATGAAAAGATAATTTCCCCACAGGGGTCAACAAAATGATTATTATTATTTTTATTATTATTACTACAAGTTAATCCTCATTCCCGGTAAGGTGACTTATGGTGACACGGGTGCCACGTTGCTCAAAGAGATAACAGAAATTGCTTCTTCAGATTTTACCACACAGGTCTAATTCTTTAAGTTTGATACTGGAGTCATTTTTGGAGTCATGTATCCAACTGCCTCAGTATGGAGCTGGAACCCCTGGAAATGCACTGCCTGATATAACCTAAACCTTCTGTCCATAATGTCTCTGATAGCAGCTCCCTGAAGGGACTCTTGTTTATTATGTTTCTCGTTACGGTATGAAAATGCAATAATTGCCAACATTTGACTCCCGCCATCCCTGGTTGCGTTTTCCCACAGACAGTAATGTGAGAAATCTGTCTTGGGGGGGGGGGGGCAGTACAGTTCCCCTCTTTTTAGGTACTTAGATTTGAACGTCCACTGCTTTGGATTATGAGGTCTTGAATGGTGTTGTGTCTTGTGAAACTGGTGTTTGTCTTGGTTTATGTTGGCCGCCTTCCTAGGTAGTTCAGCTCTCTGGGGGTGGGGTGGGGGGGTTAGATGGACTGGAGAGGTGACTGGTGAAGGTCACATAAAGTTTTGCAGCCTGGGGTTGACATCACAGCCGGACACGTTATTCCCCTTGCCTGTGACATTATCAGATTTGGATTATCTTAGTTTGCGTCTCGGATATTTTGTGGGATTTCTGCTGAGCCCAGACAGATAGATACGTTGCCAGCTACCGCGTGGCGTGAGGCATCCGCAAGAGCGTGCCGGACGTGATCTAGCCGCTGACGATGGTTCCTCAGACTTTAAAGGTCCATATGTTTCATTCATTCTCTTTGTTCACTTGTCTCGCTGCTCACCTGTGGAATCCACATCTTGCATCTTCTTTGAAAGATCCAGCAGGATGCTATGACAGATGCATAGCAGGAGACTCCTCACCCACCCGCCCCCAGAGAGCAAAGATTTGTAGCCAAGGACCCGATGGCCACATGGGTCCAGATAGTCAGCTGCCGGGGGTGTCACAAAGCAGCGCTTGAGCGGAACCTCTGGGCGACCTGGTGCGAGCTGGGTGACTGAGTGCTGAGGCTCCTGGGGGGGTCAGGGGCAGCGGGTGGGAGCCTGTGGAATTTCTATTGAAGTTGAAGTCATATGTTAATAAAGGCTCAGGGGAATCTCAGTTTAAAAGGGTTCTCTGTCCGTCCCTGTGCGGGAATAACAGTGAGAGTGATATGTGAGACGCCAGTGGGGGGGGGGGGGGGGGGCAGCGTTTTATCTGATGTGATCTCAGCAAAAGCAAACATCCGCCCTGGCGGGTGACTCTCTGAGGCGGCCCGGCCCGGGGAACAATCTGGACACTGTGGGCAGTGTGGGGGTCACACTTATAAACAAACTCCGTCCGCAAAACTTGAAAACTTGATTGGAGGATGGAGGAGCCGATGAGAGAGCCGCGGAGCCGGTCCGCTAGGCGTCGGCGCCCACACCTCTGCCAGGGCCGGTTCAGTCTGGCTGCTTGGGCCGTGCCACATTTGGGCCACATCCCGTGCCAGGCCGCAGTGCTCTGCGTGACGCCCAAACACCCTGGAAATGGGGGCGTCTCGTGTTCGCGGTTCAGCTAATGAGACACATCGATATGGAGTGTGGGGGGCTGGACCTGAGCCATTCGGCACGTCTGGAACAATCATTCACAACAATAAATAAAAGTAATGAGGAGGGATTTCCACAGAGGCCACATTGTGCCGGATTTGTTAGTGTTATTTCATTACTTAGCCGACACTCTCATTCAAAGCGACTTGCAATTTATAGAGCTGCATAGATGTATATATATATTATATGCTTAAACATGCAACAGAGTTTCACCTCTTTGGAGCCAACAACCCTCAGGTTAAAAGCCTCTGGACAGGGTGTTTGGTCTCTGCCAGTTTAGCCTGACCGGCAGTGACCAAAGACCTGACCTCCATGCGCAAAGAAATGACTTAGCGTTCCTGCAGAATGTAAAAGGCCTGGCAGGTCAAGCCTCAACCACATACCTGGACACGACAGGGACTGTCTTTGCTGGCCAAATTTGGGCCTGGTGTCATTCCCTTGCCTGTGTTTTCAGTTCCTCCCTTGATGTGGTATGGCTGTCTGAATGATGCCGCCCCAGCTGACCCCCCCCCCCCCCCCCATACGCGGCACCCCAAACAGGCTACAGTAATGGTCTTCGCTTTCATGGTCACACACCGAGACCATGGAAAGCACAGATTCTACAAAAATAATAAAAATAATTCTAAAGTTCCAGGAACCAAGTCAGAAAACATAACATGTAACTGTTCTTTCACCATATTATGTTACTTCCTTGTTTTTATATGCTTTCATATTCGCCCTATTTATATATTTTTACGTAATAATATTTTCCTCACACTGTTTCGTCTCGCAGCCACGTCCAGTTATGACGCGGTTCAGGCGACGCACCTCAGGCGACGCGCTCCGCGGTTTAGCGAAGCCAAGGTCATTGGGTGGCCATAGTCAGCCTGCCTGTGGTCAGGTTCAGTGGGGGGGGCACCGAAGCCAGCCAGCATTCTCTGGTGGCAAGTTACATGGACCGAGTTCGCTGTGGACACCCTTGACTGGCTAGAGTGATGATGCAAGGAAAATGGTTCGAGTTTACGGTCAACATGTCAGTTACCTGATGCATGACTGCAGTCCATGAGTATTATTAAAACAAAGGTATTTTACAGATATGCGCTTGAAATGTAGTTAGCATAGTACTAAATTTGTTCCTGACTAAGCTGTGCCAACACAGGGATTTTCCTGCTGGTTTGGTTGCTGTAGTATATTGCATGTTATTGCTGGTTTCTAATTCATTTAATTTACAAGCAGCCCCTGCATACTTGCAACAAGCTACATTAAGGGAGAGTTTCTTCTGCTAATGCTCATGGATTTGATGCTCTGGGCTTTTTTCACGCACAAAGCACCAGTTATCCCCATCAGGATTTCACGGTGGATCTGTGCTCTGTTCCTTGAGTACTGCTGTTTATCATGTGAAACTGTAAAGAGAAAAACGTTTACAAATGCAAGGAGAATCTCAGGGTCCCAGCATTACTACCAACAAAATGGAACTTTTTGCATTATTCAGGCTGGAAAAGTTTCCTTGGTGGGAGTGAGGAGGTGAGTCCAAACCAGCTTACAGCAGTTTATATACATTTAGGGTTCCCTGCAAGGATGAGCTCATGGAGGTTTCGTCTTTCCTTATTTCCATGTATTCCTGCCTTTTTTGATGTCCAGGAGGCAAGCCGATCGGAATCTAGTGTTTAAACATCGGGGGTCTCAGAGCGTGCACAGTTCAAACATCTCTCCCGGAGCGCTGAACCACAAACGGACCTGACAAAGTGATTTTTTCGACAGAAAAACCTGGAGCAGGGAAGCGCAGCCGGAAAGTTGGACAAGCGTATGATGCAAGAAGCGTGGCAGCGGGAGGCTGGGGGAGTAGCGACTGTCTAAGACAGGAACGCGGGTTCAAGAAAGCCATGGTGTCAGTCGATGCCCTGAGAGCGTTCAGTCAGTGACCGACATCACATGGTCACTGCAGGTTTCAAAGTCTCACTTCACTTGATTGGGGATTACTTCCAAAATAAATGTCCTGAACCTTTGACAAGGTAACCCAATACAGTATATTATAGCTGTTTATTGAGTGTCTACTAATAAGTCACTCAGATGTTTTACCTGAAATAAGTAGCTTACAGTATGTTTTCTTGTTCCTGTGTTTCAAAAGCAGCATAAAACCCACCTTCCTGGAACATTTTAATGGCCATTAAGATTCCTTCACCATTCCTCAACCAGGCAGCTCATAACCATCTACAGAAGTGACAACTAGGGGGAGCTGTTTGAAGTTCTGGAGGGGGGTTAGATCTGGCCTAGGCAGGCTGTCCAAGAGCCATACTGGATTCATTAATGACTGCTATGGTGTTCTGAGCAATCAGTCGGCCGCTGGCTGAAATCGCTATTGGTTGTGACTGAATAGAAATGCCAGTGTTTCACAAAATAAGCCGGTGTCTGTGGATCAGATTTCTAAATTCCTCCGGAGATTAAATGAATGAAAATCGCTTAAGACTGAGAGAGACCAGAAGGGATGGGAGAGAAGCTAGAGAAAATATCCCGCAGCATCGTGGCTCTAAATTGCCTTCAGAATCAGCCACAAATATTGAAAGCCACAGATTGACAGAAAAGACAGGCGTGTCGCCAGGGGTGTCGTCCTTGATCTGAGGGACCCACCAAGAGAACAACGATGATCCCCCCCACAGAAAGAGTGGCAGACATCTTGCTGGCAGGAAGTAGGTCACCTCTTAATGTCTCCTGCAATGTCATTCTGGTGGCAGGTTTTGTGAGGACGTGCCCCTCTTTCCATTGACTACACCTCCCCCCCACCCCCCAGTGAATGAAACTTGCTCCAAAACCACATGCTTTGGTCCGTAAACGAGGTCAGAACAACCAGCCATTTTCAAAAACCGTTTCGAATCTTCACTGATTGCACATTACAGCAGTAAGAGCGGAGTGTGAAAGTTGAATTAGCAGAGCAATAGCACAGCTGTACATAAAATTCACACAGCATAAGTCAAGTCAAATCAAGTGGAATTTACTGTCGCACCAGCCATATACAAGCATACAGGAATGAGGTATGAGACAACACCCCCCCAGGACCACGGTGCAATATAAGACACATGGGGAGCTATATGTACCCAATTACAGGGGGAAGGTACAGATTAAATACACAAGTGCAAACACTGGATTGGACACGGACCACACATAGGTCACATGGCCAACACACAGTACAGTATATACATGAGGGTGAACACTGAATATAACCTCTCTGTACATAATATACAGTATGTACAGTGATTTAGCAGCAGGTGATGTAGCAGCGATTAAAATAAAGTGCAAACATGCCAGTAAAAGAGAGTTAGAGTAAAGTAGCAGGTGGAGTGAGGAGTTGGTGCTGCTCACGTAGTGAGAGGCTGCGGAGGAGTTCAGAAGTGTAGCAGCATGTGGGAGGAAGCTGTTACAAAGTCTGGTTGAGCTCGTCCGGATGCTGCAGTACCTCCTGCCAGAGGGGAGGCAGTGGATGGGAGGGGTCTCATAATGCTGAGGGCCTTGCGGATGCATTGCTTGTGAAAGATCTCCTGGATGATGGAGAGAGAGGTCCCGGTGATTTTCTTTGCTGTCTTCACTGTCCTCTGCAGGGACTTGCGGTTAGGGATGTTGCAGTTCCCAAACCAGGGAGTGATACAGCTGGTCAGTACGCTCTCTGACAGCCTCCTTGAACATGTTCCAGTCTGTGCTGCCAGATGCAAGCTGCCACCTACTGGAACCCTCCATAATGGGAGACATATCAGAGTTCAAAAGAGGATGAATTGTTGGTGTGCATCTCGCTGGCACATCTGTGACCAGGAGAGCTAGTCTTTGTGGTGTATCGAGAGCCAGGGTAACGTTGGCATACCACCACAAAGGACAGCTTGGAGAAGCCTCAAAGAGACTTACTACCTGGACTGTTGCATTCCCAGAGTGCAGCACAGGGGTGGATCAGTGATGGTTTGGGCTGCAATATCACGGCATTCCCTAGACTAGATGGGTGTGTCACTGCGAAGGACTACCGAACCATTCTGGGGGACCATGTTCACCTAGTGGGCTAAACATTGTACCATTGTACCCAGAAGGTGGTGCCGTGTAGCTGGACAATAATGCACCAATACACACAGCAAGACTAGAGACTGAGTGGTTTTATGGACATGAACGTGAAGCTGAACATTTCTCCTGGCCTGCACAGTCACCAGATTGGATTATTGAGTCAGTCTGGAGTGTTTTGGAGGAATGAGTCAGGAAATGTTTTCTTCCATCATGTAGTGACCTGGCCACTGTTCTGCAAAAGAAATGGCTCAAAATTCCTCTGGCCACTATGCAGGACTGTTATCTGTCATTCCCCAGATGAATTGATGCTGTATTGGCTGCAAAAGGAGACCGTGCATCATACTAATAAATTATTGTGGTCTAAAACCAGGTGTTTCAGTTCCATTGTCTAGCCTCGTAAGTAAAGTGGCAGTTTCTGTAGCCTTGTATCTCTGGCAGGAAATAATTAATCCCCCCACCCCCACCCCGGCATCGAAACAATTGGAAGAAAATGTGAGGTGGAAGGTTTCCGTGTAGGGCTAACACAGATTCCCCGCGGTGTGTGCTGTACTTGCAGACAGTGGTTGGAGTTGACGTTTAAGATCTTGCTGCTGTGGTCCAGACATTACTAGGTGTGTGACACGCTTGAAGCCGGTTCGTTGGCAGACTCTCTGACGCCCACACACAAATACAAACAAGCAAAGGGGAATTTAGGCTCATCACTACAGAGTCACCTGGCAAATGGATCCACACACACTTACGCCAACAGGAAGCACGCACAGACACGGAGGATGTGACCCCTTAACACTGGAGCGGGGACGACACTGGTAGCCACTACAATTCTGACCTATTGTGGCTCATCACACGGGAATCATTAATGAAAAATAGCTGTAAAATATTGCGATGTAAATCGGAAGGCCAGACCATTCCACAGGAGTTTTAATGATAGAAACATTGTCAATAAAAGTGTTTTTACGTCACAGTCAGTTGACAACAGGTAGGTGTTGACTTAAGTTGAATCAATCCTCAGTTCCTTGCTCACAAAACAAAAACTTTATTGCTTACCAGTTTAAATAGTTAAATGTTGATACTCGAAACAACACAGGGGTTGGTTGAGACCAAACTAAACATTACATTTTGACCTGAATGATAAAAATTTGAATTAAACAACATTTGCCATTGAATGACATGAATGAAATAATAAATGTTTATAGATATTATAAATATGAATCTATTATAAATAGATTAAGTACACAACCAGACTTCTGTCATGAATGGTGAACATCAATTTCTAAGAAGGCTTTCAGCAAAACACTAAAAGTTTAATTCCCCCAATATTCAGATGACAGTCCTGCCCCATGATAAGGATGTAATTGGGTAAGGCAGACGTTTGACTGACACATTGATTGCAAACACACATGTCCCCCAGCCATTTACCCATGCTGCATGCCCCCAGCCATTTACCCATGCTGCATGCCCCCAGCCATTTAACCATGCTGCATGCCCCCAGCCATTTACCCATGCTGCATGCCCCCAGCCATTTAACCATGCTGCATGCGCTCAGCCATTTACCCATGCTGCATGCCCCCAGCCATTTATCCATGCTGCATGCCCCCAGCCATTT